GTATTTGGGCTTGCGCTCTGATGCAGCAGCGGGCCGGCAGCGGCTCATGGGCAGAGTCTGGCCAGACCTGCATGCTGATTTTGTAGCCGCCTGGAATCTTTTAGTTTTGGCTTCAAAATATACTGGCAGTAATGGTTTAAGAGTCTTAAAACTGTTGTTCATTCTTTGGACAACTTTTGATCCCTGGTTTCCTTTCACTTATATAACTACTTATTCACCCGGTAATTATCATGAAATTGTTTATAATCCCATTGTTCCGTTTAGAAAAGGCCAACAAATAAACTGGAATGGCCATGACAAAAAATTAAACAAAACCTCTGGTCGCTTGCTGCTCGCTGTTTGTAATTCACTGCTAGTAAGTCTAATACTTAGATGAAAAGCTATTGCTGTTGCTTATACCATAAATGTCCTTTGCCTGCAGGTTGCAGCCCATACATTGTCGTTGCTCGCTATGACGCATCCATGAAAAATGACATATTTTCAAACCAGGGCCTTCCCTTGACTATTGGTATAGTTTCTTCTTGACATGGCATGTGGTATAAGGTAAATGTTGCCTGGATTGGATAGAACAACAGAATATATGACGCTTTTCATCTTCAGTATGTAACAATTTTGGGTTAAGGTTTACGATAGGATCGCACCGACTAGGAGAAAATTGAAGATCATAGCGTTGTAGGCAATGAAAAATTACATTCATTGCTATCAAAATTGATATGCAGAAGTGGACCTATTTGAGGTAAACGACGAAAATGTGGCACTCAGAATGCCATGCGGAGTCTGAGTCCCCATGTGCCTCCAGCGATGAAGTACAGCCCTCCTTGCATCGCAGCAAACCACTTAACTTGGCAGGAACCCAACATAAATTGTAGCTTGTGATGTCACGGCAAATTTCTTATAAGTGCGCTGTAGTAAAATATATTTCTGTATTCTAATTTATATAAAATTTTAACGAAAAATGCATTTATCAAATGATATATATGTACTATAGTTTCAATAGAAATACACAGTACATTTATACTTTCGCATCGCTGGCCTCTCCTGGCAAATATGACAGTCCTGTTGTCACAATTATTGTTGTTTATTCCAAAGGGGAAGGTTGTTTACAAGGCTACTTTTGTTGCCAATTTTTTTTCCAACTTTGCGGTGAAATCAATCTCTCACTGAAATCATCTCCTCAACTTTAAGGTAGACTCATTTTGTATTACTAAATGTAGTCAGTGGCGATCTAGAGGCACCAGTAGGGAAGTTAAACAATTGGGAGGGGGTCTGGGGGCGGAGTCCCAGCAAGGGAAATATGGCAATTGGTAGGGGGTCCATACAGCGATCCTACTGGTAGTTTGTGCGTTTAAGATGTGGTTCTCTTGCTTGTTTGTTTGTGCGATACTATGTCGAGTCGTCTGTGGCTGAATATTCTCTCAGGTTTTCACATTTTCTACTTTCTTTGTCATCTGAAGGACTATCCTTGGCTCGGATTTTCAATTTCCCACTTTCTTTTGCTTTTTAAAATGTATGGTATGAATGAAATCACCCCCCAACCCCTGATTCCCCATGGGAACCCCCAACATTGTTGGTGGGAGTCGGGGACTGCACCGACTAGGAAATTGAAGATCATAGCTTTGTACTCAATGAAAAACTACATTCATTGCTATCAAAATTGATATACAAAAGCAAACCTAAAAGATGAAAAGGTGGCGCGTAGAGTCCCAACACGCCTCCAACGATGATGTCCAGCCCTCCCCACATCACAGTGAGCATCACAGGAACTCAACATAAACTCTTGGCACATGTACCTTGTGACATTATGGCCAATTTCTTAGAAGTACACTGTAGTATAATGTATTTCTGTATTCTAATTTATGTGAAATATTAACGAAATACGCATATATTGAATATCCATTTGTGATTGATTATCATATACGTAACAAAGTTTCATTAGAAATGTATGGTCCATCCATATTTGTGCATCGCTGCCCTCTTGCGGCAAATTTGACAATTCTTTTGTCACAGTTCTTGTTTGTTCCAAAGGAGAAAGTTTGTTTACAGTGCAACTTGTGTTTCCAATTCCCCCCCCCCCTCCAATTTTGTGGTGAAATTGTTATAATATTGGGGATAACACTAAACTCAGTGAAATACCATAACCATGTAGAATTTCGTCAGTTGTTTGTCACTTCCTAACCACATGGGGATGGGGTCTGGGGGCAGAGCCCCTGGTAAGGAAATACATCAATGGGGAGGGGCTCTGGGGGCAGAGCCCCTGGTAGGGAAATACGACTAATCGGGAGGGGGTCCAGGGGCGGTGCTCCTGTTTGGGAGATACAGTAATTGGGAGGGAGTCTGAGGGTGGAGCCCCTGATAGGGAAATATGGCAGTCAAGAGGGGGTCAATGGGCAGAGCACCCAGGTTAGGAAGGTTTTGGTTCATATGGTGATCCTCCTGGTAGTCTGTGTATTTAAGATGCGGTTCACTCGCTTGTTTGTTCATGTAATGCTCTGTCTGATCATCCGCGGCCAAATCTTGTCTCGAGTTCTTATATTTTCCATTTTTGTTATCATATGAAATACTCCTCTTGGCTACGAACCTAGATTTTGAGTTTCCTACATTCTTTTGCTTTTTGAAATGCCTGGTATGAACGAAATCAGCCTCCCTCCTCCGCAATCCCCAGATTCCCCACAGGATCCTCCAATATTGTTGGCAGAAGTCGGGGACTCTGTCTCTGATGGGTATGGTCCTGTTGTAAACAATTACCTACTTTGGTATACAATCACAGGATAAGAAGGCAATTTTGCAGTTTCACAGAAACAACTAGTCTTTCAATTATTATTTCTCCTTTCAGTTATCAGCACTGTAATATGTGTGAATCTATTGTTATTTTCCATCACAAATGATATAATGAAAACTATTTGTAATGTATATGAAGTGACCTTTATGAAATCCCATAAAAGCTTCTTAGCATCCTAGACCCCATCCAATGCTCTGCCTCCTCAAGGGGGTGCTAGTATTTATACTAGGGATGCTTCCACAGCACACACCAAGTCCTGAAGGTTTTGCACCCTTCTGGCCCCAGTTACAGAGTTGACCTGTTCCCTGGTCTCCTCTATCTCCTCTGATATTAGGGATGTACCTTGGGTGATGTACAAACCTGGCCACCTAGCATCTATGGCAAAGATTTGTTCCCACAGGGGTTTACCATGCGTGGGGACCTGTGTTGCTGGGAGAAGGGATTCCTGGGGTCTGAGTGAAGCTGCATGCTGCTCCCTGTGGCTAACAATATGTTCCGCCTTCCCAACAAGAAGCTGTAAGGGAGATCTCTGTTACTACCCAGCAGAAGTGTTTTCACAGTGAGGACTCCCTGGAGGAAAGTTCTCCAAATAAAACCCAACCTCCTCAGTGCTCTACCAAGTTAGTAGAGGCTAAAGAAATGACAGATGCTTCTACCACATCCCAATAAATTTGAAAATCTAAAACTAAGGTTGCAGATAGAATTCGGACAAAACCTATGCCTTACCCCCCTCAACATCAAGTTTCAAGAAGGATAATGAGCACTTCTGGGAGGAATGATGAAACTTGTTGGATCATTGCTCCTGACACTAGTATGCCTGGAACGTCTACAAAAATTGAGGTAAAAATCCCAATAACAAGCCTCCAAGACACAAAAAGAGCAGTAGGTGCTGTGAATACCCTTTCTAAGGGAGTTCAAGATTGTCATATAAAATAATAACCTTCTCAATCCTGCAATGAAATTGTCTTGGGTTACATGCCTCTGTGCAGTATTGCTGCTCATTTCTCCCTTGCATGTATTTGCCTTTAACCCATTAGCGACGGATGTCCCATATATGAGACACCTGAAAAAATAAACTTTGCCGGGCGTTCCGCCAGTGTGACGCTGTATCGGGGCTCGTGCTCCGATGCAGCTGGCGGGTGGACAGACTCTGGGGAAACTCCGCCCGCCGATTTTGTAGCCGCTCGGAATATTGTATGTTTGGCTTCAAAATATACCAACATGAATGGGTTAAGAGACAATGATAGGGGATGCTATACCGCCTGGTCCCCATGGTTATCATGCAGTCTACTCTGCCCCTTTACCAGGAGTCATCATGGTTGCACTGCCATCGTATGGATGCCACCCTCTGTGTGGTGACCACTACCAATACGTGAGGCATTTTACTCTCATCCTTAGTAGAGGATAAGGAGTTAGGAATTCTAAATTCTGATGAAATGACATAATTCTACATCC